AGAGCAATGTAAAAGGGAATGAACAGGAGTAACTTGATATGGATGGGGGAATGCACTAATGGTTTTTGAAATCTTACTTTGAGCAGGGTAAAGAGCCAGTTTGCTGAGAGCTGAAATGTGAATATGAGAAGGCAGAATGGAGGATATCGAGAGTATACATCTTTTCTGAGAATCTTGGTGGAAATTAGGCAGTATCTATCATTTTTTTCTTGCACACATTCATTCATTCAACTATTCATGCTTTTATCCAATACACACTTAAGAACTTATAAATATGCTAGGCATTGTGCTAGATCCTGGCCATGCCTTAATGACCAGGACAGGCAAGAAGATCTTGGTCATGGAGCTTGCATTCTGGTGATAGAGACAGATCCTATACACAGACATACATAGCATGCCAACTGCAGAGAAAACAAGGTAAGCAGAGGATGACTCCCAGCAGCCACGATAAAAGTGAGGTGGGTTTACTTTGCTAGGATTGGCAGAAAAGGCCTCCATGATGTGATAGTAGCTACACTGGGACTTAACACATAAGAATATGTGAGGAAAAGCAAATGTAAAGGCCTTGAGATGAGTGACACCTTGATCTGTTTGAGAAACTCGAAGGAGACCAGTGTCACTGAACATGAGGAAGAAGGGAGAGGGTCAGAGATGAACTTGAAGAGGGAGAAGAGCTACATCCTGTCGGGTCCCATAGAACATGGAAGACTTTCAATTTTATTCTAAGCACGATGTGAAACTGTTACAGGGTAACCCCAATGTGAAATGGATTGGCCTGCGTGTGGGTCCTCACCCACACTTTAAAAAAAAAAATCTAATAGTAAGACCCAACAGCAGGCACAAAAAGGTTAATAAAGGGTTTATTTACAAAAAGGGAGAATGAAGAGAGGAATAACCCAGCGAGGGAGAGAGATAAATTGGTGAATGCATCCTACCAGTTCTGCTGAGCTGGGACCTCAAGAGCACGCTGAAAGCCAGCAAAAAACCAACCAACCTAGGCTCATGTGTCTCTGGTTATGCTAAGTCTGGCTGCTTAACTCCACCCTCAGTTCCCAGCAGTCCTCCATTTGGTCCTGATGACATGGGATTTGCAGTCCTTGGTGCCTTGGATCTCTTTGGTCTGGGGTGGGGGTGGAGCCCATAAACCTGTGTTTGTGGAGTTCATTCAGGACAACCTCTCCCCTCAACAAAACTATTAGAAGATTTTACAGGAATAGGGAGATTATCTAATGTCTATTTTTTTAAAAAAGAAATCATAAAGGGGCCTCCTTGGTGGCGCAAGGGGTTAAGACGCAGCCTATGAAGCTGTCCGCAGCCTCTGCAGCCCGGGTTCTATCCCTGCCCGGCCAGGGAGCAATCCACATGGCAGAGCAGACCTCTCCTGTTTCACCTGTTGCTCCCCTCAGCAGTGTATTTCAGTCAATCTGCCTGTTCTGTTCCCCACTCTGTCTGGTGAATCCTCTCACTCCCCACAGCTCTGGCCCGTACCCCAGCTCTCATATGCATAAATAAATAAATCTTTAAAAAAAAAAAGAAAAGGAAAGAAATAATAAACAAACCAGGTTTTGATGTTATTATCACAAGAACCCAGATGAAATGAAGATTTTTGGTATGCTCAAGTGCTGAAAACATTCTGGTCTTCCATAGAACATTCATCTGTATTTATGAAATAAGTGGAAGGGCTTTAAACACTTGTGATGTTGCTGTGAGACTTTTTTTTAAGGTCTAAATGTCAATATTATTTCAAAACGTTTTTCATATTTTGGTGCCCATTTTTTCTGCTGGGTCCTAAGCACTTAGTGCCTACTGGGTAATCAGGACCTGACCTGGACCACCCACTTAAGTTTGCCTGAAGCGCTGAAGACTTCTCTGAGCTGCGTCTACAGGTAAACTGTCAAACTTCAACACTTCCCCTATAGAGAAATTGAAAGGGGTTGGAGGACAAGTTATTTAAAGTCCCTTCCAAGCCCATCCTTGGAGCAAGGCATTTCCTGATGGGGGTACCATCCCAGTCAGATTGGGGGCCTCTCCAAGACAGCCCTGCAGTGATCTTCATATCTCCTGCCTTAGCTTATTGCCCAGCACTCAGTAAATCAGTAATAAAAAAATTACCCACACTTTCCAATTAGTCTACAAAATAGCTTTACTTAAAAATTTTTTCCTCGTTATAACAGTATATCTTAAGCAGCAAGTTAACTGTAGTAAATGGAAATATAAACCATACTAATTAAGACCAAATCTTGAAGGAACAAAACTGAAAATAGCATAAAAAATTGGATGGATTATTGGATTAAAAAATAATGTACTATAGAATGGGTAAACTGAAACCACTGTGGATTAATAATAAATTCTGTGAGGGGCAGAGTATTCTGTGTTTTACCTAATATAACCTCAAAGCCTAGAACACAGCCCAGCACATAGGAGACATGCCAATATTTTTTGAATAAATACACGTTCTGTCCTGGCTTTTTAAAAATGAATACAATTAGCTTTTTCTTCTATTAGAAGTTGGTTCAAGTTTTTAATTTGTCCTTATTCTGGAGCTAAAGAAAACATTTCCCAGGCAGCTGTAATTTTTTTTAATGGCAGGCCACTGCCAAAGAGTGATGTTTTAATCCCACTAGGAATAGAGAGAGAATGCAAATTGTTCTTTCTCTCATGACATGAGCCCTTTTTCTCTTGCCCTGTCCTTCTGCTGTCTCAAGAAGCTTGAGATAGAAAATCATGTGTAGATGCTTGACATTTGGTTCTCTCCAGGGAAATAAATTTACTTAACTAGCTTAATATTCCTCGGTGAACTCTTATTGATTGATTCAGAAAGATGCTTCTCTAGTTCTACTGATAGTAACACAAATAAAACTAAAAAAATTTTTTTAATTACGCATTTGAATAATGGGATAATTTTCAAGTAGCATAGTCCTGTAATCATCAGATATTTCTCTTTTTTTTAATTTTATTTTTATATTTCCCATACAATTGCAACCCCCTTATTTTGACCCCAATTCCTCCTTTCCCCGCCTCCCCCACCCCCCATAGTGTGTCTCTGGTTCATAGTTGTTTGTTGATTTGATTTTTTCTTTCTTATAGTTATTCTTTTTCCTGGTCCCTTATTTAGGTTTTCTAGATTCCTGCTATGAGTGAGACCATCCGGTATTTTTCTTTTTCTTTCTGGCTTATTTCCGTGAGCATGATCCCTTCCAGCGCCATCCATGTTGCTGCAAATTGCATGTGTTTATCTTTTTTGAATGCTGAGTAACATTCCATGGTGTATATGTACCACATCTTCTTGATCCAGTCATCTATTTTTGGGCATTTGGGTTTGGAAACAACCCAAATGCCCAAAAATCATCAGATATTTTTTTGGCCACCATATTTTGCCAGGCAGGAATTCTTTCAGTTCATTGCGCACACATTCTCAAGCATTTTAGTCCTTTCTTAAACTAGCCCAGAAAGAATATATTCCCTTAATGAGATTTTCATTCATCCATTCAGTTATTTAACACGTACTTATTAACTATCTAATGTAAATTTTTCAGCTAAGGCACAGAGAATTTAGTGGTGATAAGACATAAGAGCTCAGAGGCTCCTGCAATTCTCTTTAGATTTCTCATAAATTAAAATGCCATTGTGTTTTGGGAATAAACTAAAAAAGGGAAGAAACCATAACATTTTTTGAAGTGTAACAATGTTCCAGACACATTTAGAGGGTTATAACCATCCCTTCCAAATAGTTTCCACTCTACCCCTACTTCCTTTCTTTCAGTTCTACTTTATTTCTCTGATGTACAAATCCCTACTGGACATTGTTTACTGCTCTTTTACCAGCTCTAAGAAATGACTGTCATATAGTAGGGTTTTTGCAGTTATTGCACGAATGAACTTGAAAGATAGAAATTCTTGTGTTACAAATGAGATCAAGACTGATGAGATCACTTGACCATGGATGTTCAACTCTTAAGTCACAAATTGTAGATTTACATCTTGGGATAAAGGCAAAGCCCATGTTCTTCCCACAATTACTCCTGCAAATGCGTATCTCTGCAGAGTTTTAAACTGTTCCTTTTTGTTGAACCTGTTACATGAAACACAGTTGGAGTTACAGAGTTCTTTGCCTTGCTGAACCTGACAGTCTAATTAGGGAGAAAAAAAAATCTGGAAATCCAACCAACGGTATAATTAATGCAGTGTCTGAGTATGGACGAACCTTAGAGACAAAAGCACGGGAGAGTGAGCTGGGTCTGGTGTTGGGTCCTGCAGAGAACATTCACCTGGCAGGGGTTGTTGACGCTGCAGTAAGAGTTAGTAGCATTAGTATATGCCTTCAGAGCAGACAGCTTTCCTACAAGCCTTTTCTCTCCACTAAGAGTCCCCGTTCCCATTTAGATGCTAGAAAACAGTAGATTCTGTGCTCCCCTCCCCTTTTGCAAAGACAAGGTGGTGAAAGATGGAAGACTCATTTTGAAGGGAGCTTAGAGCTTTTGGCCTTACTGTGAAATGAAGAGGCCGAGAGAAACAACCATTAACAACTGAGGACGTTTGCCTAGAAAAGAGGAAAAGCATAGGAGAGGAAGGCGAGTGAGAAGCTAACTTTAAAACATTTCCCACCTGGGAAAATCAGGAGTTTGTTGCATGCCTTTAAAACACTTACTTGGTTAAATATTTGAAGTTTCTTGCACTTGACAGACTATTGGCGCTTTCTGGAGGGGAGTTTAGATTTATTTCCACCAAACAGTGGACCCAAAATGTGACAGCCTTAAGGAAATATATTTCTACTTAATATATATATTTATATGTATATATTCATTTACAACACGAAGCAGGGAGCTGTCTCAGAAGGGGGTGAGTCCCTGCGCGGGACTTTTCTAGCAGAGGAAGCAGCTTGCAGGCGAAGGAGCTGGCCCCCAGAGTCACGAGGTCCTGGTGGGGCGCCCGGGGGGCGGGCACCCGGAGCCGAGAGTGCGCGCGTCGGGTCTCCAGCTGCGCAGTTGGAGCTCCCCCTGGAGCGCGGCGGGCCAGGCTGGACCCGGGGTGGGGGACCTCACGTTCTGTTGTGCCTGAGGCTGCGGGCACGAAAACGGGGCGCAGCATGCTGGTGCCCGTGGGGAACCTCGTTCGCCTCCGGTTGGGACACTTAGTCCGTTGCGCCCCGTGCGCGCCTCGAGAAGCCCTGCGGCGACCCCTCGAGTCTTTCTGTTCCCAGGGTCTACCCTGCTACTCCAGCGGCGGGGCCCCCAACGGCTTTGGGCCCCAAGGTCAGGGTGAGCCTGGGCTGGGACTGGCCGGGAGGGGAGGGGTCTGCGGAAGGGCCGGCGTGGAACCCGGCCGGGGTTCGGAAGGCGAAAGCTTGCCCTGACCCGCTGTGCCCTCGAAGTGTCCGTTCCCCCATCCTTCCTGTCGCCCAGCAGGGAAGGTTCACAGGGTCCCCGCCGAGCACAAACCTTCGCAATTCGACAAGAAAATTCTGCTGTGGACCGGGCGTTTCAAAGCGATGGAGGAGATCCCGCCGCGGGTCCCGTAAGTGCGACGCGAGCCCTCGCCTGGGTTTCAAGCGCCCGGGAGGGTGGGGCCGGGCCTGGAGGGCTGTGGGGTCCAGTCCCTTCCCGAGCTGCGTGAGCCCGGGTGCGCGGGTGGCCACAAAGCCTCAAGCTAACTCTCAGGAATTTACTTAAAAAAAAAAAAAAGATTTATTTATTTATGCATACAAGAGCTGGGGTACAGGTCAGAGGTCAGAGGTGTGGGGGTGTATGAGAGGATCCACCAGAGACAGTGTGGGGAACAGAACAGGCAAATTGACCGAAGTACACTGCTGAGGGGAGCAGCAGGCGAGTCAGGAGAGGTCTGCTGCGCCATGTGGGTTGCTCTCTGGCCGGCCGGGGATTGGACTCGTGCTGCAGAGGCTGCGGATTGCTTTATAGTGTGGTGCTTAACCCCTTGCACCACCAGAGAGGCCTCCTCAGGAATTTACTTATCTGTGCCCCACTAATGCAGTTGATAGTCAAGTTCCTTCACCAGACGTTGGTAGCTAACCTTTCCGGGGGAGATTGTTGAAGCTGGGTCAAAACACAGTTTAGTGACACTTTCACCCTCGCCCATATGCCCCATCGCAGGGCACGGTACTGGAGTGCGCCCCCAGCTGATTTCAGGGGCAGAGTGCGAGGGGGCGCTCTGATTTCAGGACGGCTCTCTGCGCCACCCAAGGCAGGGGTCAGTGATCATCGCCTCATGGGAGATGAGGGAGACGCCTGGTGGACAAGGTTTTGCTGCCCTCTGAGCACTGGGTTTGGGCCTGGATGTGGGCCTCTGGACATCATCCCAAGCCCAATATAGAGGTTTGCTAAGTGATAGAACTCAAGCTACCGATTTTCGGGGTAAATGTAACTTGTAGGAAAAAAGTACACGTCACCTATGAAAAGTCATTTGCCTACAGTTCCAGTCATGCCAAGCCCAAAACCCTCCCCAGCACTTTTACTAGGATGGGGGCGGGGGGTTGCCGCGGGAAAGGGGGGGAGATTATGAATCAAATCTATCTAATATTTTTTAAAACTGATCTGTTAAAAAGAGGGGGTAGGGGAAACGAACTATGAAGTCAAATATGACTTGAGATGTTCTGTATGCTTGTAGAATGTAATCAGTGCCTGTTGGGCTAGATAATGGACATGGCCCTACATCTTTTTCTGTGCATAATGCTTACAGCTTATTGTTTATTGGTTTACCAGTTACCAAAAGCACCTCCAATAAATGGGGAAAAAATACGTGGGAAATGTTCACTCAGTAGTGAACATTTTTATTCATCAACCATTTTTATTCATTTCTTGGATCAAGTTATTTAATGAGAAATGGACATGGAATTTGAAATCTTTTTACAGCATTTATTCAACCAGAGACATTTTTTGGTATGATAAAACAAATTCTGTTTTCTTTGAGATCTAGACTGCAAAGTACAGACTAATCCTGAAGCACAAATCAGCCCCAGAAAAGTCTTTATCATCACAAGCTCTGGCTGTCAAATTGGAATTGATATCGGAGGATTTTGTACTTTCAATGTGAAATGAAGAAATAAAGAATGCATAAACAACAATAAAAATAAAATTCCATCATCAGTTTTTGTGGATTTGATGCTAGTGTTATAAGGGAAAAAATGAGAATGCAGAAACCAGTATAATATGAATTAATGTTTGTCAAGCAAGAGATACTATGGCTAATATTGCATTAATATAGCTGAATATGTGAAGTGACCTATTTTACAAAAATAATTTTATTTCCCTAGGATCACTGTCAAAAGAGATATTAAAAACAGGAAAATTAAACTTTTAACAAGATGTCAGGAAAAGTATTGTAGTTTTAGGTTGGAGACACGAAAGTATTTAAATAGTTTTCATTTCATTTATGTAATTTTTTTAAAGCACTGATAATCGGGAGATTTTTCTTTTGAGCAAAGTAATAGACTTACAATGTAAACAGCTTTCACTTTTTGTTCTCTTAATGGATATATAATTAATAAATCACCTATAATTTTTGTACCATGCACTAATGATATTTAATAACTGTTCTTTTTTTTCAGCGCTAAACTAATTTGGTATAACAGATCAAAACCAGATGGATGGCTTAAAAAAAAATCAGGTCTTTCAGGTTCCATTTAGAACAAAAATCAACAACAAATATAATCTAATAATGTCTCCATATTCATCTGTTTGCAAGTAATATCTTAAAACTTACCACTAATCGGCTTCAAATATAAAGAAAACAGGCTAGATAATTGGGTTTTTATGTTCTTTAAACTAGTGGAAAAGTTAAAAAGTTCTTTTAAGAGAAATGGTGATCTGTTTCCCTGAAGGTTTTTTAAAATATAATTATGTTCCATTTGAACTTGACAGATAAGAAGGAATACTGCTGAATATGTTCTCAAGAATCAAGGGATCAGTTTCTTGTGTTTCAAGGGATCAGTGTTTATAAACTGCCACTTCATATTTTTGCATATTGTTAAGGTTTATTTTGATATGAAAGGCCCACAGGCATGATTACTTTTGTAATAGTACTTGGTAATAGTTTGCTGAAATCTAGGAAATGTGAATAGAATTTTTTTTAATAAATTAGACTACCCAATATTCAAATAAACCTATAAAAATTCAGAATAATAATAAGAAAATAAAGGTGTCTTTGTCTCTTTTTTGACCAATTAATGTGATTTTGATCACATTTTGGGAAAACGTCATGCAAAAGCCATGAAGCAAATACCTTTTCCCTAACATTCATTCTCACAAAATGTTTATTATATAATTACAGACACCCTCGGAAAACATATAATGGACTCTTTAATAGGGTTAGGATGGGAGGGGAGCAAAAGAAATTGGGAAATCAGTGGGGAATAAAATGATGAGAATGAATTTTGAAAAAGTAACCTGTTCACAGTTGTAAACAAAGCCTACTTAGTAACACAGAGGCCAAATGAAGACAAGTCATAGACATAATGCACTTTCTTTCTTACCTTTACCCTGATTAGTGGGGCAGGGGGAGGGGACAGGATGGAGAGTACAACCAAAATTTCTAATAGTTATATTTTGAACAATTAGAAACTAAACATACTATACTGTGGTTTCATAGTGGCTGACATTAGTTAAGACGTGACTCAATACCTGTTATTTTGAAATTAGTAATGGTTAGCATTTAGAAGTTTTTCATATTTGCAGTTTGTATTCAGGAAACTGTCGTATTTACATAACAAATAGTTGTCTGTTATAATAGTCAGGAAATCATATTAATTTAATACTATTAACAATTCTATTGGTTTAGGCCAGAAATGATAGATGCTGCAAGGAACAAAGCTCGAGTGAAAGCTTGTTACATAATGATTGGACTCACAATTATTGCCTGCTTTTTGGTGATAGCATCAGCCAAAAGGGTGAGTACCTCTTTAAAATAAAGATAGACTTATGATTTTTAGAAATAATATGGATGTTGTTCTCAATTTTAGGATTATTGCTGTTCTTTTTATGTAAGAATAGTTTTGTCTCAAGATACCTGGAGCCACCCACATATACCAATCACACTGGAAACAAATTTGTTCCTGGAATTTTGAGTCACCAAATTAACTTTGTAGCCAGGAGGCACAAATGCTCGTTTCCATTTATAAATATTAAAAAAAAAAAAACCCAAACAGGTTAGCAATTGGTTAAAATCTGCACAAAAAGGAAAACACTGTTGTGTTTTACACTGTTAGTGTAAAAGTTATGCAGACTAGATCATTCCTTAATTCGAACTCAATTAGCTATTGAATAGCATCATAAGATGCAAAAGTTGGGAGTCCTCACCAAAGTTTAATTTGTCTATACACTTTCCTCGCCATTATTAGTGTGTGGCTTGTGTTTAATACTCTGCAGAGAAATTAAGAGCTGATTACTCTTTTTTTTCTGCCTCCCTAAGTTACCCTTTTCAGTAGTGCCACAATAACTGGAAGATCCCTAAAATATCCCTTTAGTCTCCTCAAGTTTTAATTTCTCTATTCTTGACAACTTCCCTCTATTTTGGAACTCTTCTGGTTCATCACACAAGTTCAGCAGTGTACCTCTATGACTGCACTAGATTGCGATTATAACTTCCTCGTCAATTTTGCATTTTAGCAATGCAGCCAGCGTTGGAACTGATTTTGGCAATGACATCACAGAATAGCTTGTTGTGTCCATACATCTTCACTTTCTAGCATATTAAACCAGTTACCATTCTGGCTGGCCCAATGATTCTGTCCTTTCCAAGTTTTTAAGAGGATGTGATCCCAATAATTCACTAAGGGCCTAGGGCCTATGTACTGATGTGTGTATGTAAGTCCATTCATTTCTATTACCTTAGCAAATAACTTATGCTTTGAAATTATCCTCAGCAAATGGGAAATTCTAAATATACAAACTAAGCTGAACATTTAACATAGAAATAAGTAAACTAGGTCATCTCCTACTTTTAACCTTCTCTAGGTAAAATGATTATTCATCAGTCTGGTGATTCTCTAGTTCTTAAGGATATTTTAAATGTTGATACAGTATTTTTTCCACAACAACAACAACAAAAAAGAAAACTATTAATTAAATAGTGGTTTACTTATAGCCCTCTAATGTTTTATTTATAAAAATCACCTTAAAATAATGTTTCCCACACTGAGAATCACAAATCCCTAAATTTATTTTTTTTAACTTTTTTTTTATTTTTTTACATCATTGTTCATTTTTAAACAATATTTGCTTCCCCCCACCCCCTCAGGTGTAGTCCCCATAGAGTTTCCTTCACCAATGCACCTGTGCACCTTCACCTCAGTCCCCTGTGCTCCTCCCTCCCTCCGATCCCTCTCCCTCCTCCTCCACAAATTCCTAAATTTTTTTTTTAAAGATTTATTTATTTATTTATTTATTTATTTATTTATTTATTTATTTATACAAGCACTGGGTACAGTCAGAAGCGCAGGAGGGTGAGAGAATTCACCAGAGCCAGAGCAGGGAGCAGAGCAGGCAGAAGGACCGAAGCACACTGCTGAGGGGAGCAGCGGGCGGCAGGAGAGGTCTGCGCGCCATGTGGGACCCTCCTCTGGTGGCCGGGGAGCAGCCGGGGATCGAACCGGCGCTGCAGAGGCTGCGGGCAGCTTCGCAACCCAGCGCTCAACCGCTGCGCCACCGGGGAGGCCCCAAATTCCTAAATTTAACAGAAAGGCCAGTTATACTCAATTTATCTAGTGGCATATTAGTGTGCTACTGAATGTCATTATTTGATTTTTGAAAGATATGATTTGACATGAAAGTTTTTTCTTGTGGATAAAAATCCCATATTTCAAATGTAATTATTTTGTGAATGTATCGTCAATAGCCAACACTTTTTCCTGTGTGAAGCAGACACAAATAACTGGCTAAAAGAGCAACTGATAATGTATTCCAGTTATATTACACCATTTATTTTTTTCAAAATGTGAGAGCAGGCACACCACAACTAAATATCCCGGCCACTTGCCAGGTATTATGCTTTTTGCTATGAAATTCTGTGGCAAAAAGAAAAATGATAGATTTGTAGCTTATTTCCTAGTGGAACAAAATGAAGATTGATCAATAAATGAAAAGAGAATTAGGAATTTTCAGTGCAATGAGGAAAGGAAAGGATGCTAACAGAGTGAGTAACTCTACACGGCCATTTTAGATTGGGTGGTCAAAGGAGAATGATCGGAGAGAACTAGTCTGCTAGGGCAAACTCCGGGAAGGAAGGACATCATGTTCAAAGCCTGGAGATGAGAAAGTGTTGGCTAACTAGTGTTGCTGGAACACCATGAATGAAGGGGAGATGGACCTCACAATAGTAGAATACCACCAGGGCTTAGCCCTGGTTCTCCTAGTTTCTAATCTCCAGTTACTCCCTTGAGGATCTTATCAAGTTTTATAGCCTTATATACATTATATTCCAATGACTGGCCAATTTCTATCTCAGCTAATCTCTCTGGAACTTCAGATTCACATGGTCAACTATAAACTTGACATGTTTCCTGGGATGTTAATAGCTATCCCAAACTTAACATGGTAAACATTGAACTCTGCACCATCCCTGAACAACCCAATGCCACCCCACCCCTATCAGTCTTCCTTATCTCATTTGATGTCAGCTCTATCTTCCAGCTGCTCCTGAGTCATCACTCATCAGCAAACCTGTTGGCTCCACTTTAAAATATACCCACAATTGGGTCACTCCTCATCAACTCTCCTGATGTCACCCTGGCCTGAGAGACCAGAAACTGTTTATTGTCCAGTTTATTGCAACATCTTCAAAATGGTCTCACTCCTATTGCTCCTTCTTCTGTTCAGTTCACTTTTAATTTTGCATAAGTAATGTTATATATACCTTATCTATTTTTATTTGTTCTGCCAATGATTTTGTTTTTCTCATCATCAGAGGACTATGGATTTCCTCACTTCTGAAAAAGTCTAAGCTTTAACTTGAAATGTAGCTTCTATTTTATCTATGCTCTCACCTATCCTGTAAGCATGTCGTAATTTCTATTCTCTGTGACGTCTACTTTTCTATTTTTTGGTATCTTTTTCTTTGAGTTATAGATTATTTCCTCAGATCTATTAATCTAGCTAGAATTCTTTTCTCCAAATTATGATGTTCTTTTCGCAGTTGATTTGCCCCCCAGATAAATGCCTCATTTCCTTGCCAGTTTATAGGCTGGTGAGAGGAATTTTAGTCATTTCAGAGGAGGATATTTTCCTGATTCCTCCTGCTGCTTATTGATAGCTCCACTCTATGCTCAAGATCTAAGTACACGATTTTGCTTCCTTGTGTAAATTTAATTCCAAGCCTATGGCTGTTGAAGCCAGCTTTTCTCCTCAGTGCCCACTGACTGAAACCACGTCCTTCCATCTCGGCTTCAATCTTTTCATTCCCCACCAGTTCATGTCTTTTGATTTCCTTCCATTTCCGGTACCTGAGAATTTCCCTTTTTTAATTTTGAACTTAAGCATTTGAAAATAACTGCTCCATTTTATCCAACAATCATGTCATATCATGTTTGGGGGTATCCAAATATTACCTATTGCCTCAATTAAAAATTACTTTCTTTTAAAGATGAAAAGAAAATCCATGTCACGTCCCAAGGGCGAGTAGGGTCAGATTTCTGACATCGGTGTTCCTATTGACTGGAAGTCTAACAATTTATGTATTTTTTTATACCAAATCATTTTTCTTGAAGAATATTTTTCTCCTTTCTATTTTAGAGTCTGTCTCTAAAATATTTTAGTATGTCTATCTAAAATACAAATTCCTTCTAGAGAGTAAGTGCTTGGTTTTGCTTTTTTTGCAGGCTGCAGAACGACATGAATCTTTAACAAGTTGGAACCTGGCAAAGAAAGCGAAGTGGCGTGAAGAAGCTCTGGCCGCACAGGCAAAGGCTAAATAATATTCTAAATGACCAAGTGTGCATTAGGATATCATCACTACTATCAGCAACAATAAAAGATTGGTGAAAGAGAGTAACAAAATACTTGCCATGTTTTCTTTTGGTGACAAGAAGTATAGTCTTTATTTTTAAGTAAACTTTTTTTTTTAATAGAGGCATGTTTTTATTTATTTGTTTGTTTATTTGCTTTGTTTATACATGCACTGGGTACAGTCAGAAGCGCGGGAGGGTGAGAGAATTCACCAGGCCAGAGCGGGGAGCAGAGCAGGCAGAAGGACCGAAGTATACCGCTGAGGGGAGCAGCGGGCGGCAGGAGAGGTCTGCGCGCCATGTGGGACCCTCCTCAGGTGGCCAGGGAGCATCCGGGGATCAAAACTGCGCTGCGAAGGCTGCAGGCAGCTTCACAACCCAGCGCTCAACCTCTGCGCCACTGGGGAGGCCTTAAGTAAACTTTTATTGAAGTATAACTTACATTCAGCTAAGTACACAAAAATGTATACAGCTTGATAGATTTTTCCATAGTAAATACACCTGTGGAAATACTGCCCAGATCAAGCTGTAGAACATCCGTTACTACCACCTCCAAGGCCTCTTTTCTACCCTGTCACTGTCCTCCAGATGTAACCATTGTTCTGACTTTTACTAGTATAGACCAATTTGGCTCATTTTTAAACTCTTTATATAAAAGAAATTGCACACAATACCTGTGAAGATTCTTATTCTCAACATTATGTTGTGAGCTTCTTCCACCAGTTGTTTGTGGCATGAGTTCATTTATTTTTATTGCATTGTAGTATGTCACGATTGATTTAATACTTTGGTCCAGTTTTGGCTCTGCAGATAATGCTAAAATGAGCACTCTGTCCATGCCATTAAGTGAGGTTGAACTCAATCCCTACAAGCTCTTTAAAATCTAAAGTAATTTCAACCAAAATTCTATATCTGGTAATTGGATAGTTCCTCTAAGTTAGTCTTTTCATAGTTAACTACTAGGTGAAACAAATTTGAAATAAAAATTTTTTAAATGGAATTTTTTTTTAAAATTAATATAAGCACTGGGTACAGTCGGAGGCACCAGAGGGTGAGAGAATTCACCAGAGCCAGAGCGGGGAACAGAACAGGCAGACTGACGAAGTACACTGCTGGGGGGAGCAGTGGGCGGCAGGAGAGGTCTGCGCGCCATGTGGGACCTTTGCCTGGTGGCCGGGGATCGAACCGGCGCTGCAGAGGCTGCGGGCAGCTTCGCAACCCAGTGCTCAACCACTGCGCCACCAGGGAGGCCCCAAATTTGAAAAATTTAAAACCCAAGAACTCTTGATTTTAAAATCTATTCTGATTAAAAAGTAGTAAAATAATAATCATACTTTTGAACAAAAAAATTAAAGAAACCTGTTTAATGATTTTCAAACTTGCTAAAACCCTAAGATAATGATCCATGTCCTCCTCATATGGACATTTGGCATCTCTGATTTTTAAAACATTAAACCCAAGTCAGTGATATAACTTTCATTTTATTGCATATTAAATTTATTTTCCACCATGAACTTGAAGTTACATAATTAGTTCATTCCATTTATAGAGAATGTCTGCTTTGTAATGTTAAGGACAAGGTCAGTTGTTACTGTCAAACTAATAAGCCAAATCAAACTTAGACTTTTTGTGAAAATCTGTGATTTGAAGATAAAAATGTTAATAGACATTCCTGGGATAATCCCATTTCTAATTTGATGCTAAGATCAATAAAGCACAAGGCATTAAGAATTCATCCCTTGAATGAACCATGATATTGGCCACCTCAGAATTTTGTACAGTGGGTAGGGTCAAATTTCTCTGTTCTTTGTGTTTGTGGAACTCTTGCTCAGATCACCAGCTCTAATTATCCCTTTGTCACCCTAAGGTTTTTGCCCCACAGCCCAAAGCACAAGAAAGATTCAAAAATGGATATTTTTTACTCTACAGTAGTACAAGGTTGATGAGGAGAGGAGAAAGGAGAGCCAACAGAACATAGGCAACTGGCTCGTCTTAATTTTAAGAGGACATATGGAGAGGGGGGGATTGCACAGGGACTATAATCAAGATGAAAATGGATACATTGTGCAAAAATGAAAAATAATGTAAAAAATATATAAAAGAAAAGAAAAAAAAAGGAAAAAGAAGAGTACATATAAAGTTAGATCTGGAAACCAGTTCTCTTAAAAGAGTATTATTCTGTATGCCTTTTTCAAAATATTTTGCTATGTCCTGCTGAAAACTCCTAGGATTTTTTTAAGTTGTATAGAGAAATACCAAAGAAAATATTTCTAAGAATGAATGTGGCATTAATATTATTTCTGGTCAGATAAAAGAATTGATGTCCAGAAAAGTCTTCCAGTATTGAACTAAAATTTCTGGATAAAATATTTTTAAACTCATCTTTTGAAATACTTTGCTGAACTATTGGGAAAAAAGGGAAGATCCTTTACTATAGACAATAAATTAAACTTGAACTCAACCTACCTGATGCTACTATCTGCCATGGGTATCAGGCTGTCTGGCTATCCCAGATGGTTGATGGTATGGAGAAATGACAAAAACATGAGGCTTCTAAAAATGGACAGGGTGGGCTGGGAAATCATCCACATAAAGCCAGAATCCCAGAAAATTTACACTGATATATGTGGAGGTTGTTGTTGGGGGGCAGGGGGTGCCTCTGTCAGTCAGGATTCTACCAGAGAAACAGAACTAGTAGATTATATGCGTGTGTATGTGCGTGTGTGTATATACCCATCTATATATAGATATAGAGGAAAAGATTTTTTTATAGCTATATCCTAGGTGAACATGTGTTTATTACACATATGAAAATATATTTATTGCATATTTACACATATCTGTAACTTATTTAAAGGAATTGGTTTACACAATTGGGGGTTGGAAAGTCAGAGATCTGAAGCACAGGCCAGAAAGCTTAGAATTCTCCAGCAAGATCTAGAGCTATAGTCCAAAGGCAGTTTTTTCTCCCTCAGGAAAATGTCAGTTTTGCTCTGCAGGCTTTCCAACTGATAAGATGTGATCACCCAGAGGACATCTCCTTTACTTGTAAAGAAGATAGTATAAAGAGTACTTGAGCCTAGTCAAATTGATACATAAAACCAATGTGAGAGAGAATGAGAGGGAAGTTAACCTGTTTAGCTTCTTTAGAGTTCAAGTAAAGACAGAGGAGTAAGTTTGCTATCACATGTGTTGAGGGTCAGAATCTATGACCAGAATTTATGTTTACCTACACCCCCTGATAAATATACACCAAGTACTTAGTAAACAGTGCTCACAACAGAACTTACTGTGGTGATGGAAGTATTCCATAAGTGGAATGCAGTAATGCACAATTTATCAAAACTCAAACTGTACTTAAAATGGGTGTAAGGGCAGGAATGACACCGAGCAGGTTTTCTATGATCCAGCAGACCAGACCGTTAGTAAAGGAGGAGTCCTGGAGCCCACAGTGGCTTTTGCAGGCTTTTATTGGGATTACCAGGTACACAGCAGGCAAGGGCGCTAGGGGGCTGGGAGGCTGGCAGGCCTCCCGGTCCCCCAGCTTAATCCTCATTCTATCTGGGGTCTCCGGTGTTCTCCCTCTCTCGGCTTCTGTTCTGCTTCCTGCTTCTTTCTCGGCTTCTCTGCTCCTCTCTCGGCTTCTGCTGGCATCCCCATGATGCTGCCCTTAAAAGCCCAGTCTCAGCCCAGGTGAATCCCATCTATCTATGCCCACACCCTATTCCAGGTGCCCGCCATCAGGCATGCCTTCAGGACCGCAAGGATCCATCCTCTATCCTGATGACGGGAGGGCAGAAAAGCCTGATACTTTTTACCTTACTCTACAATGGGTGAATTTTATGGTTTATAAATTACACTACAATAAAGTTGCTGAAAGGAAAAAAAAGTAACCTGAAGAACATAACTATATTTTCAAAGCTTTGAGTAGGAGGTCCTCTCAAATGCTGCTTTTCAAACCGAAAGACAGTATGACAGCTATATAGGAAATTTGATAATATCTAGCAAAACTGCTTATTTATTCATTGAGCCAGCAATTTACAGTGATATTTATTGCCATGCCATTTACAGCAGCAAAGACTGAAAACAATGTTAATGTCCATAAATAAGGGATAATTGAATAATGGTATATCCAAAAAAAAAGAATTCTATGGAGGTACAACAAGGAATAAAGAGCTTTATATTTTGCTATGGAATATGGTACAGAATATGGTCAGTTGAAAAAAACTACACCAGAGAAAAGCATATGTCAATTTACTATTTATATTAGTATTTCACATTTCTAATGTCTATTATTTTTAAAACTTAAAATGTCGTGCTTTGCATTAAAATCTCAGAAAAAAAAATAAGCTCAGTTAAAACATGTGAATATCCACTAATTGCCAAAGCTTGAGATACAAAGATAATTAAACATGTTCCCATTACAGCAGAAAATGTAAGTTTTAAGGGCCTCCCCGGTGACGCAGCGGTTGAGTGCTGGGTTGCGAAGCTGCCCTCAGCCTCTGCAGCGCCGGTTCGATCCCCAGCAGGTTCCATCCCCAGCCGCCGGGCGAGGGTCCCACATAGTGCACAGACCTCTCCTGCCGCCTGCTGCTCCCCTCAGCAGTGTACTTCTGTCCCTCTGCCTGCTCTGCTCCCTGCTCTGGCCCTGGTGAATTCTCTCACCCTCCCGCGCTTCTGACTGTACCCAGTGCTTGTATAAATAAATAAATAAATCTTTAAAAAAAAAATGTAAGTTTTAAAATAAAAGCAATATACTCCTTTATCAGATATGCTACAAAAATTTTTTTTGGTTTTAGAAATTAGATGAAATTTTAATCAATGAAGGCACCTTTTTTTTACTCTATTAGGAAAAACATTAATCACAAGTGACAACAAAAGACACATTTATAAATGCAATTGTAAAACAGTATTTTATTATTTTTAATATAATACTGTAACATTTCATAATATTGCATACTGCTCAAATGGTGGTTTAATTAAGCAAGAATATCCTTCCCTTATCCCACTCCTCAATCAGAATTTAAAGACACATTATCCTTTTAGAGCCTATCATACAGCTCCTAGCAAGTCACAT